AAATTTTTAGGCATGCACTTACTTAGATTTGGTCCTCTGAGATACGTAATCTCTGGTTCTTGTTGACTGACTCCAAACAAGAGAACAACTTCTGTGGTTCACCTGTCTGTGGAATACTCAAAACAATTTTCAAGTACGATTTCTCTTTTCTACATCTTCTCTGTCCGACCTAGGCAATTTAAAATTTGCTTTTAGAAATGGGCTGGAGAAGGATGAAGTTGTATGAATTTGCAAAGCTAAAATGTGTCATCCTGGTACAGCCCAATAGCTACATTATCCCTGGGACAGTTTCCATCAGATATGATGGATGTCCTAAAAACAAGCAACCAAATCAGCAAACACAACAAAACAGTTGGAGGGGCAGAAAGGCAAATCAGCCGTTTATTTTTGTTATTGTTTTAAAAGTTTGATTTGTTTTAGAACATGTGAAGAATGTTCATACTTCCTGACTAGCTGAACATTGATTTTTTTCATTTTTGCACTTTTAAAATGTAGACCACGCCTATAGCTTGGATATTTTCCCTCCAAATCTCATGTCGAAATGTAACCCCCAGTGTTGGAGGTGGAGCCTCACGGGAGGTGTTTGGGTCATGGGAGTGGATTCCTCATGAATGTCTTGGTGCCATCCTTGTGATAGTGAGTGATCTCTCACTCTATTAACTCTATTAGTTCCCACAGAGCTGGTTGTTAAAAAGAGTCTGAGACCTCCTTCACTCGTTTCCTCTCTCACCATGTGATTTCTACACATACGTTTCTCCTTCCCCTTCTGCTATGAGTGAAAGCCACTTGAGGCCCTCACCAGATGCAGATGCTAGCACCATGCTTATTGTACAACCTGCAGAACTATGAACCAAATAAACCTCTTTTCTTTATAAATTACTCAGCCTCAGGTATTCTTTTATAACAACATAAATGAACTAAGTCAACCACTATTCCATTCAGATATTGTTTTATCCTAAATATTATAAGACACTAAAGTTTTAAACATGTTAAAGAAAAATGTGAGGATCCTTTCAACCTCAAGAAACAAATTATATTAAATAATTTAAAATATTTTCATTTGTTAGGAAAGATCAATATATAGTATTAATACCATATATATATTATATATTTTTCTATGAAAATTACACTTCATCAGCCTTGCAAAAAATACGGTTTTTCTTACAAGTCATTTCACCTTATCACTAAATATGAACACACCCATATTGATTTCCTGCTTTGCTGTACCAGGTTTCTAAAAGGAAAAAATGTTTCCTTACTCATATAGGAGAGTCTTTAATATGTATCATGAAGTCTACTGATAGGTTGAAAACAGATACAATGTCTTGGGAATTTTTACAACCTTTATAATACATAAGAGCATTTTATACATTGTAGAAACAATAATTATTTTTATCTGAAAATTGAATACTATTTTGAAGCAATAATGACAGCTAACAAATAATAAGTATATGGCTAATAAATGTTAAGTATATAGGTATCAGCACTGTTCTAATTACTTTACAATTGAACATATTTAATAACCCTGTGATGATGTTACTTATGATTCTCTGTCTAGAGAGAGAGGAAAGGAGAAGCTAAGTATTTTCCTCAAGGTCACACCACTAGTAAGTGTAAGATCTGAAGCTCAGCAGACTATCTCCAGAGCCAGCATTCTTATGTTCAGCACTAAATGGCTTACTCTTTATTGTTTTAAAAGAAAAATTACAATGATTCACATTTAATTGAAGAATAGATTCCTTCTGAAGTTAATGTTGAAAGCCCATTCCAGTACATTGTCTGGCCTTTTCACTGTTCAAAGTTTCTTTGGTGCTTATTTGAAACAGATGCAAACACTTAAAATATCCGTTCATACTGTGTTTCCCTGTGATTTGCTGGAGTATGTCAGGTTGCCTCCAGATCCATTTCTAAGTGACTGTCTGATTTTATTCCTCTTGCTACTTCTTTACAAACCTGCAGCTTCATGGGTCTGTTAAAGCATGGTTGATCAGAGTTTTATTGCATCTCTTACCAACCTTCTGTCTCTGCCTGTCATAGAAAGCTTTAGGGAAGCCATGAGAAGAAACTGGGTGGGGTGTTCAAAGCACAATTTCTTCAACCAAGCCTGTTGGCAAGATACGATGACGGGCTAATGATAGTGCAAAGTTTATTCTCACGTACTTTCAACTGTAGAAACTATTGTGAGTTACTTAAAAGCCTTTGCCTTTCAGTAGGTTATTTTACTTCTAAATTATTATTATACAGTAAGGTTTAGATTAATTTGACTTTCTCTTTTCACAAATTTTGTTTTTTAACTCTTTATTTTTATTGATTGTTTAACTGTTATGTTTCATAATTTTGCATGCAATGTAACAGGGACAGGGAAATGTCTCTATCAGCCCTCAGTGTTGGGGGCAGTTCTGTGTCTCTTCTTCCTATGGATAGATAAATGACAGTATCATTTTAATATGCTTTATTTCTCTCTATGGTAGCAGGAATGATTTGATAGGAGTGTTTTGGTTAGTGTTTCTGGTTGATAAAAATAAGATATATCATAGATTTTAGGGAATCGAAAAATAATGAGTATGTACTGTGTACCAATCCAAACATGTCATTGTTGATGAATCAAAAGGTTCTTCATGGTCTTGTTTTTCTGGGGGGGGGGGGAGGTTGTTTTGTTTTGTTTTTGCTTGTTTTTTTGTCAAGGTTATCCTTTTGTTAAAATTTGGGAAATATTTGCGATAGTAACTAAAGAAGATATGTTTGAAATATGGTTAGGTTTACGAAATTATGTTTCTGAGTCAGTTGAGCTAAAAATGGGGAACATTCTCACGGTAAAGCCTCAGGCAGCTTCCATCCCAAAGCTACAAAACTAGACGAATTCTAATGAAAACCTCTTTTTAAATGAAATCCTTTTAATATTTGGCACCTGTATCCCTTAAATTACCATTTAAGGGATGATTACGTTTAAGGGATCATTACCATTAACTATGCTTTTATTCCATAGTATTTTTATTTTTATTACTGCACTTGTACATTATCTCAATAATTCCTGTTTATGTACTCCTCCAGGAGTGAGACTTACTCTCTGTATCGTCCCTTCTGACCTGACTGGGATGACAAAACTCCAGCATCCCAACATGTTTTGTTAATGCTGGAGACACAAATTATGATATTTTACTTAACTTAGGTGCTCTTGAAAGAATTTAAGGTGATGTTGCTTATTTATAGGGTTTAATTTTCAGTATTAAATATTGAAAACAGTGTCACGGCAGATTTGGAGTTATTGTGACAATCACTTTTTTATGTAGATGAGTGTCTGTCTGAGGGCTTTACTGGTGTTAGTCTGGTTTACTGTTATGGTATGGAATAGCATTTCATTTTTTAAGGATGCTTATGACCTTGTTAAATAGCAGTCCAAAAATAATGTGGCTTGTTTTGATTTTAACCAAAGTTACAGCTGCCTAGCTGTAAAGCAGTCAGTTTCTCTTATTATGACTAGTTCTTCAACTTGTACTGTTTTAAATTGCCTGCAATTAGCATATTTCAACCTTATTTTTAGGTTTAAATTGCAGTGTGAGAGAGTCCTCTCCTCTTAGCTAATTAGTACTATCAAGGAACAGTAGGTTACCTCATTAGTACCATGTGCATTTAATTAAAGAAGAGAAAATTGGAGTTAACCTCATAGTTAATATTTTCACAGAGTGCTACAATGCCAACACCTTCAATTGGAGTCACACCCCTGTGTATCTAATTATGCACTGGTGCCAAATAAGGTTAGCAAGGGTAGCACAAGGCTGTTGACAAAATAATTTAGATGAAAATGTATTTGCTGGATTCTGACAGCAAAATATAACTTGAACACTTTCCCCCCAGTCTTCATCTGCTAGCATCAGGTGACATACTTCATCCTAAGAAACAGAGGGAAAAGGATATTTTGGAAGCCATTTTTCCTGTTTGAATTAATGTTGCTCTTATCTTCAAGAAAATGGCATGTAGTCATGTAAAGCATATACAATCCATTTCTTAAACAGAACCTCTGAACTTCATAGATGTATTTGAAAAGAATTATTTATAAGATGTAATATTTACATGCATCAAACCACTACAAATACTCCCTGACACCCTTAACACATCCCTCCTTGCTTTTCTTCTTTTCTGGTATAGTTATAATTTCCCTTGTGTATCTTATGAATGGGGATCATCCTTTCATATCATACATGAAGTCTAAGGATGTGTTGTCACATGGTCTATTCAAATGCAGTGTAATCCTTTTGCCCTTCAGACAAAATCTTTGAAATGTCTAATGCTACTTAGGTAAAAAATGACATTCCATGTCATTTATCAATAAATAATCACTTTGCTTTTACAGATAAAAATGCAAACTGTACATTTGAGTATATAGAGTAGTTTTCAATGCAAATGGTACAATTCAACAGGTTTTAACAAATATTATTGAGGTTAGTTGCACAGTCTTAGATACATTTTAGTGGCAATAATTTTTATATAATAATGTATAACCACAGCAGTTTATTTAAAGAAATTATTGTGATTGTTCTCACATGACATGGTAGGACAGGATTTATGTTCATTTGTACTGGTTACAATTGATTACAAGTCAGAACTTTTTCAAAATTAGAGATGATTACATTTTAAGAACAAATAACATCCCATACACCAAAACTGCAGTGCCATTTAAATATATAGTAGTATTTATGATTCTTAGCTTACAAGTGGGAAGTAAGGTTCCTACGGCAGTATCATGGTACATAATCAGTGGATTTTTTGGTTATGGGTTAATTTATTATGATCCAAATATTCAACTTCCCATCTGCCAAATTATTTGTTTTTAAAATCTATACTAGTTAACTATGAGACAATGATGGAATATTCTTCCCTATTTTGACCTAACAAGGTAGTAATCCCAAAAAATGATTTTTAAAAATGACAATGTACGTTATTAGCATAAGCCTTAAGATTGAAAAACAAAGCCAACTCCTGATTCTCTTTGTTTAACCTAGGAATTGCTTCCAGAAACAAAATTATGTATCTGTGGCCACTCTTCTGGTGATGGGCATCCTCACAACACATTTGCAGTAAGTTACACTGGGCAATTAGAAATTCAGCTACTAAGCACAAGGCCATGAACCCAGTCCCACTGAATAGATTATATGTGATTTTCTATAGCCAATCCCTTCCATTGGTGCAGATAATCAAGATACAACTAATGTTAAGATACAGATGTAATTAGTTGATTTTTTCTTACTACTTTTGTTCTCAATTATGTTTCACTGAATATACAGTTCACAGTTTCTGTGAGTTGAATACCTTAAATATATAAAGGCTTTAACACCACTATACTTTTCTTGAACTTTTAGGAATAATTTGATGAGAGAGTACTGATATGCAGAAAATAAATGGACATAGATTATGGGTTGATTCAACACATATTTTAGAACAAAATTGCTGTTCCATGTTCTTCAAGTTGTCATATAAATATACTTTTTAACAGGGTCTGCCACTAGAGTGTAACCTGTCACTTTGGACTGCAATATTTAGTGAAAATCGTTTATGTGGCCCAATTCACATACCAGTCATCCTTGGAAATGAATAGTAATCCTCAAGTCTCCATTCAAGAATTTTTATATAAAGCAACTTTATGTTTCTATTCAGCATAAATTCTACCTGCATTCTTAAGAAATCTTGAAATATAAGTCATGTGTTTTCACATATAGTCAGCTCTTCACATTCATGGGTTCTGTGTCTGTGGGTTCAACGAACCACAGATCCAGAGTATATGGGGAAAAAATGGATGGTTGCATCTGTACTGAAAATGTTCATACATTTTTCTTCCTTATCATTATTCCCCAAAGAAAACAGTATAACAACTATTTATACAGCATTTATTTTACATTAAGTATTATAAGCAAGCTAGACATTATTTAAAGTATACAGGAGGATGTGCATAGGTTATATGTAAATAGTACAACATTTCATATAAGGGACTTGAGCAATTACGGATTTTGGTATCTATGTGTGTCCAATCCCCCACACATACCAAAGGACTACTCTACACAACTTTTGCTTGTTTTCTTAAGAACTGATGTATTTATTTAGGCTTAATGGGCTAGAGTATTTCTAAATTGACTCAGCCAAAATTTATTTACTTTTTACTACTCTATACGTAATATTTTCTCATTATAATTGACAAAAAACAACAACATTAATACTCTTAAGCAGTCAATGTTTTCTTTAATGAAGAAGAAATATCTATTTCGTACTTTGGTTAAAAAGAAAATGTTTTCAATAAAAATCATGTCAAATTAATGAGAGGATATTTATGGAAAATATGAAACTTTTAAAAATGTTAGTTGCAATACAAAAACAAACTCAAAAGTGGAAGCAGCAATGACATATCCTTTCTATAGAAATAGTGAATGTCAAAAAAAAAAAAAAAAGAATTAGTGAATGTCGAGGATAGGTAATACATGTTATATATGCAGGCTTCAGAGAGATCTGAAATTACCTGGTTTGTGGTCTCATTCACTGTAATTTGGTCATTCATAGTATTTGGTCCCCCTAAGCCTTTTTGTAACAACATTTGAAAGCAAAATAGCAAAAATTTAAAAATGGTGGTAAGTTTTGCTGATATGATGTAATTAAGTTTATGTGAAAGATTAAAATAATCTTAACTTCTAAGTATTCTCTGTATATTTTAAAGGAAGATAAATTTTAGATAAACATCAAGTGCAATTATGTACTTTAACTTAATAAAGAAAATTAACTTCAAAATTACTTTTTAAAATAGTGCATTAAAAGTGGGACAGTTTTCCTAATTAGTAACACTTTTTCCTAAAATAATCCCAATGGAAAAATTGTTTTCATCAGACTGAAGTTAACTGCCTTAACTGCTAATAGTGTTTGCTCTTTATCTAAAACTACTTCTACCATTTAAAATAAATATCTATTCTACTGATGAGAGAAAACAAATCTATAGCATCAAATCTTTGTATTTTCACTGACATATTTTCAGAATGAAAATGAGACATGGAGAAGTAAAATGATTCACCAGAGGCCATGTAATTTCTCAATGGTAAGGCTGAATTTCTATCCCAAGTTTGTGATGACCAGTGTATTGGTCTTTCCAAAAGTATCCCAAATTGTTCTTGACTGCCTTGAGTGCAGTGTTGAGTAGAAGTCTGAGGTTCTTCCATGTATCTGAGACTGCATCTCATCTCTCAGATCGAAAGAGCACCAGGATGAGTTAGTGAGGTCTGGTATGGCTGGTGGGGAAGGAGGAGCATAGTAGTGCATTTGTCATCGGATGTTTGCCATCTCCTTAGTGTGCCAATTTAATACTTCATATTGGCCATTGAGTGACTTTACAAATGGGGCTTTTTGGCTTCACAACACAAGGGAAATATTATTTAAGTAATATTAACTGCTTATTTTCCTTTATTGATTACCTTGTATATAAACTTCAGCATGCTAAAATGGCTACATAATGTGATTTAAAATCAATATGCTAACCAGAACGAATACTATATTATTCATAGTTGACAACTGCTATGTGATGGACATGGTTCTCTTTTAGTATTCATTGCATTTATAAGTACCAATATGCCAGAGTGGTAGTATGGAATACCGTAAGAATACTGGTGAGCTAAAAAGAAGAAAGAGGTCAAAAGGATAGATGGGGCACCTAGAGCCTGCCATGTTTTTTCATCACTATGTAACTGACATTTATAATGAATTGTGAATTATTACAATAGTTTTCAAATTTTAAGATACCCTATATAATGCCTATCAAGGTGTTAATTTAATGTCACACATATTATTTCCATGGTTGGTCAGCCTACACACACACACATACAAGCCAAAATTTTCAGGCACGTGTTCCAAATCGGTGGATTAAATTAATTTTTACTCTTCCCATCACACCCAATTCACTTAAAAACTAAATATCGCTTTAGTTTATTAACAATCCTAAAGTAAAGTGCCAAAAATTGCAGGGAGAAAAAGTCACTTACATTGCCAAATGAAGGTTAAAGCCCAAATTATCTCAAGGAAATAATATTACATATTTGATATTAAACAGGGGTCAAAAGCTCTTCACCATGCCAATTATATATTTTTCAGATATAATTGTGTCAATTTACTAGCAAAACGTGCAATAAAAATATATTTTCATAGGGTTTTTTCTAGTGTCTTGGCTTGTTGATAACCATCAAACATTGGCCATCACCTGAGTATTGTACTTCCCTATTATCACATTGTTGAACAGTAGTGATATTTTAATGTACTCACGAATAAATTGTGTTTAATGTGCCTCTATCAATTCATTGCAATACTGGGCAGTAATTGTATGCACTTATCTTTATGTGAAAATTGTTATTCTAAATTTTGTCTACTTGTTGTATTTAAAGAAATATTCGGGCTCCTTTGGTTTTATATTTACTATTCTAAGAGTAACAATATAATGTCCTTACTATAACTTTGAATTTAATAGATAAAAAAGCATTAATTTCTGACTTTAAAAAACGAGGATATCGGAGTAAGAGAGCTTCATTGTTAGAGAATGCTTTTCATCGCTCACTTTTCACATTCAGTTTTTTCAAATAGTGTCTAGTTTAATCTGAAAAGAAAAAATCTTCACTTATTTTACTTTTCTTTCAAACTCCAGTACTAGAATACATGCCTTTCTTTTATTCCTGATGTATCAAACAGCTTTACAAATTACTAACTCTGCCAAGATTCTAAATTTCACAATCTTTGGCTTCCTTACAAGATAGTAACCCAAGTTCATTCACTACTCTCTAACTATGCCCTGCTGGCACCTCATCTGCCTGAATGACCTCATTAACACCTATCTGCAAGTAATCTTATTGTTAGTCTTGCCTACAGGTTTTTACACCTAAGTGAATACTATTTTACATAGGATTCTGCCAGTTAGTTCTAACTGCAAAGGCAATTATGTGGAATGCTTAGGGTCTTTGTCTTTGGTTCTTATTTTTAAAACCTTTAGCATTGAGCCAGATGAATCTTTTGATGAACAAAATATCTTGTACCTATAATCTGAAAATGAAGCTTGCCTGGCCTTGGTATAACTGCTTTATTTTCCATTCAAACTAAATTACATTGGCCACATTTGACCTTTCTCCCTACAGGTCTTTGCTATGATTATCTCCTGAATGGTTCATTTTTAATGGGGAGGCTGGATTGGAAGAAATAAGAAGACAGGGATAGTGATGCTTTTTAAAATATCTTTTTATTTGTGTTTCAAATTCGTCTCTCTCGAGGCTTTACATAAATCTTACACAGCACCAAATAATCCACACTGTGGGCTGTACAGTCAGCTTTCTGGTTTGATAATTGGGCCAGTTTCTTAACTTTGCTTTGCTTCACCTTCTCAGTCTGTAAAATTATAACAATAATACTACCTACCTCATAAGGTGGTCATGGGAATTAAATATGATAACCCTAAACAGTACTTACCATGATGACTAACACACAGTAAACATGCAATAGATGTTGAGTTAGTATCTGTAATAGCATCAATATACTCTTGCTTGAACCAAAGAGTCAATTCTGTTGGAAGTAAATGTAAGTGTATTTTTGGTATTAACACTAAAAGGGGCATTGGGCATTGTACCTTGGGTCATGGCCAAGACAGATGACAGTGTTACCCACTGAGAGGAGTCTTTATATTAATCAATTTAAGTTGAACACTGACTTACTCACTCACACAAAAATAGTGTTATCCAAATGCTTTCTGATTTGTTAAGTGGAAGACAGCTAAGTGGAAGAGACAGAACTCTGCCTCACCAGACCTAAATGATTCCTGGCAGCCAAGAAGAATCATAGCTAAAATATGTAAGGAAAAGTGATTGTTCACCAGTAGTCTGTATCCAGCTAGAGCACATGAAGCTACAAAGTTAGGAAATTCATGCAGCAATGTTGAATTACCTCTATTTTTTTCTTCCTTCCTATATTATAAACCTATTAGCAGAGAGTAACCTGAAGTTAAAGATAAATTACTACTTATTAGTGTCGATAGTTTTAACTAACATGCTGAAAACAATGAACCGAGGATAAT